AAGATTGAAATCCTGAGAAAAGGGCCTCAATACCGTCGTAGTAGGTACTTGGGATGTCACCTGGATGTCCTCGGAAGACAGCGTTGACGTCAGCCCCATGGGCATCTTCAGCAGATCCCTTTACCAAAATGTTTGTGAGCATGGCATGAAGAATTTCTAAGAGGTCTTTTTCCACAGCGCTAAGCCTTGACTCGCCCAATTCTTGTAGTGCTTTAAAATATCTAGGAAACACAACTTCACCGAGCTCCAAAGTGAATCCACGGGTGGCCGCCTCAATCACAGGCATCAACGTTTCAGCTGCACCAGAAACTCCCCCCTTTGCCGTCCCTTCACCGTTCCTTCGTGGCTGCTCCCGGTCCTGGTGTGGTGGTAGGTAATATATTTTTATGATATATTGATGAAGCCCGTGCAGACGATGCACTGCCCTTAACATGAGTGCAAGCTCTGCGCAGCATTCTGCACGAATTTGTTTGTGCCTTGAAAGCACAGCAGCTCCGGCATCTGAAGTATTGACCGCCATGCTGTCATTCTTGAAAATCCTCTGGAACTTTTGGCTCAGCATTAAGAAGCCCGCACCCCGTGTCGTAGTATTAGAGCCGCTTGAACTCCACTGCATGAGAATGCGATACAGCAGAACGGTAAGGAAATGCAAGCCATCAAACCCCGAAGTGGGGGAGCTGGTAATCGTCGTAGGTGGTGGTTTTGGCCTGCTTACACGAGTAACCTGATCTGTCCTCGGTGTTAGCGATAATACACATAAAGGAAGTTTAGTAAATGCCAAGTACATCCCTGTTAAGGTTGTGATGATGGGTTCTGAAATCTCCGCATGTACCTCGGGAGATGAAACAGTTGAACAGCATGAGAAGCTCCTAAACCATCTCTGTAATAAGAATCGTGCACGGTTAGCGCCAGAAGGGTCATCCAAAATAGAGCGAATCGAGGAAGGCACAAAATCGGTGATCATGCCATGTCGTTCCAGGGAAGACAAAAGTGCTGCTAGCTCCACACGTCCACTACAGGAACGATCCGATCCGCTGTAAAGCAATTGAAGAAGTGCCCACAAAGAAACATCCGCCTTGGCCTCTCTGGAAAAAAGGGGAAGCAAATGTAAGAAGGAATGCCGCGCGGCGCGCCAGGTTACTACTTTGGCAGAGTCTCTTATCGTCTGTTTGTCAGTATAGGTACTCTTACCTCCAAAAGAGTTTATATGATTCCCGCGACGACCACAAAGACAATTGTTCATTAGTTCAGGTGTTGGCCTATCTCGTTGAATGTGCGCACCCAGCATAGTCAGCCATAACATCGGCAGCAGCTGTAGTCGACGTTGCTGGGAAAACAAGCAAAATGGAGATGACGATACCCTGCCGAGAGCACCCTCATCAGGTGACGATTGATGAAGATTCACAAATTCGCCAAACCATCGCGAGATCGCCCTGGTGATTTTTTGCTTTTCATTTCCAGCTAGAAGCACCGTAAAGAAGTTCCAGTCTTCATGTGTCAATCTCTGCGAACCGAGCGTCTGCATGATCAAGCCAACATGGGCTTGAAGGAGGCGGCCGAAAGGCTCTCTACTACGATCAATACTAAAAAGGGGCGCAGTGTGATCCAGAAGTTCCCACAACTTCACCGCTTCACAATAATGAACTACTGCCCAACGCAATGAATCCCAATGTGGGGTGAGAGAGGAATCTAACAATACATCGTACGCAGTTTCACAACTCCCTCGGTTGCCTTTTTTTGCTTGTTTGTGCCTGCTGAAGTTGTGAGCCTTGGAGAGAAAAATGGTAGCTGATAAACAGACGTCAAGGAGCGGTTCCAAGTACTTCTCACCCACTTCATAAAGCCCTGTCAGATGTAACAGTAATGACGCTTGAAAGATGCAATCCATTAACATACCTAGCTCCGCGGCGCTATATGAGTGCGACAAGCCCGAAAAAGTCGATCCAAACGGAAGGCTTTCACGCCCAGCCTTCTCCGATCGCGGTTGCTTCTTGTGATGATTGAACTGTGACTTGCGGTTGAACCTAAAATCCATGAGGACGTGATAGCAGTGGTACGCAACGAAGCGAGATGCCTCCCCTACCACGCTAGAAGAAGTCGGAATTGCGCTAAAGTTCTCCTTCTCTATATTACAACAAGACCCCGCATAACTGGCATAACCATCGCTCCCATTTTCACCATCTACATCGTTAGTCGCGTCATCCTCTAAAAGGCCTGTACCCACACCATCCACCTCGAGAAACACCGAGGTATCGATATCCGGAAGTAAGGAGAGACGAAATAAATCGGTCGTGGTCGCCTCGTCAGGGATCTCCGCGGTGGCTAACATCGAAAGCGAACGACGACAGCGTTCGACCAACTCCTCCACAAACCCAGGACTGGAATCTTTGTGGTAGAAATGCCACCTCCCCCGGCGAACCATCCGGAGGGCCCTTCCCGTAGGAAAGACGTACTTGTTTCCTTCAGCTGGTGACGGCTCCGTATTAGACCCCACAGAATGCACCGGTGAGACTGTGTGTATGCCATCCATTGGGTGTTGAACGTGTCGTTGTGTTTGACAATCCCCTGCAGCCTCTTTGGAATGTGCATTCAAAGATTCTTCCGCTTGCTTGGATGAAAATGTAGATGCCATGGGATCATTTGGATGTTCAGTGGAATAGGGTTCGGGCCTGTCAGGGCATGAAGACGATGAGGGTGAGCTAGTATGGGAACGCCTTGACTTGTGGTAGTCAAGGAGTAAAACTGTTGAATTAGACACCATAGGAGGGAACCAGTGACGACGTAGAGAGCCAAAGCGATGAACACAACTAGATAACTTGCAGATACTTAAACTGTATGGCAGCTTTTCACAACGATAATGCTGGAGAGTCGTTTTGAACAGGGTCCGCATAGCACATAGAAATCTACAAGGACAATAAAATGCTTCTTCTCAGGGACTTTTTGATAGTGTTGCGTGGAATCGTAAAGAAAAGCTGTCTCCTACATAGCTTTACAAATTCATCGTTTTTTATGCATGTTAAAAATCAAAACAGGAAAAGTGTTGAAACGCAAAGTCATAGAACAGTAGTCATTTCGAAGATTCTATTGCTAGGAACTAATGGAATAAGTCTTCATATAACATGGAAATTTATTCCTGATGTTAACACGTTTTGAAAAATATGGAGTATAGTTATGAAGTTTTGAGCATCTTCCTTTTCTAATGAAATTCCAAACTGCGGAAGACCACCGTAGAACAAAGAAAAGCATTTTGGGAAAGACAAAGCACGTATTTGCTTTCTCACATATACCTCCTTCTTGCATTGGACCTCCACTTTTCTCCTCTTTCTGATTGACTTCCAACTTCTCTAGTAGCCCTTGACCCTCCTGAAAATCTAAACATGTGGTTAGATTGTGTCGATCTCGTTCTCGGCCCGTGAATGAAGCTACAGCTCAGATTGATAAAAAGGTTCAAAAAGAACCCACAAGAAGGTGCACATGTCGCACCATTAAAAAACGTTTATTTAATCTAGAAGAGGTAGACAAAATGTGAATTGACAAAAAATAAATTAGCTTTTTTGCAGTGCCCTCACAGCTAATGGGGGCGAGCTCAGTCGATATCCTTTTTAACTTGAATGCTCATAAAATTGGTTTCTTCTTTTCTATTCAAAATTATATATTGTGTTTTTTGATTGGGTTCCCTTTCTACACTTAAACACTGCAATTACCCTTTTTGTACACTAACTTTTCAAGAGGAAGAAGTCGCAATACGGTTTTCCTTCATAATAGAAACACTAAAATCGATAAAATAACCTTTAGAGAAACCCAAACTAACCTTATGTAGGCATACCCAACCATAAAAAAAAAAGATATGCATTAAGGCTCGATTCGATTTCACATATATTAGGATGTGCTACTCTTTTTTTCCCCCTATCAGCTCCGCTTTTGCTATATCTTTCTTTTCTTTTCCAAAAATAATAACAATGCTAACACATTCTAGGTCATACCAATACTTTGCTTTGTCGTATCATGCTCGTCTTTCATACGCACTTAGGAACCTCATCAACATGAAAAGCAGTGTAAGAAATAGTGACACTATGCTAACTTTTCCTAGATGTTGCACCAACAGCTAAACACCATGGGGTGCGAATCCCTCAGCGTTATTCGCCGCCGGCCTCTTCCTTCACTTTTACCTGTGCATCCTCCTCAGCTGGTAGATTAAACCCAAGGGTAGAGGCCAGATTGGAGTACGGTGGTGGGGTGTAGCGAATCGCCATATAATCGTCGCCACGCAGTGGTCGCTGTAGTTCGTCGATGATCTCCCTCCGCATCCAGCCACATCCCGTCTCCGGGTCCGCCAGCTGTGCCCAGGCGCGGTCAATAGGGTCGGGAGAGCTCCGCAACAGATTGGGATCCCAGTGACGGACGTATGCGTTCGGTGTCACCTGTGGCCCCCGCACCTCCACCTGGTAAGGCACCTCTGCAACAAAGTAGTGAACCGGCACACGCCAGTAGAAGGATGGGATGGACTGCATCAGCCTCGCCGTGGGGAAGACCTCCACGGGCTTCACTGTGATACCGGTCTCCTCCCAAAGGGTGCGAATGGCCGCCTCTTTGTACTGCTCGTACAGGAAGGTCCACTTGCCAGGAAGCTTGAGGGAGATGGGTGGGATATCTGGGGGACGCAGCTCGCGGTTGATGCGCCGCAGCATCAGCCATTCCACCTCACCTGGGTCAGTGGTACCTGGCAAGCGACGGAATATGCCAAGGCGTACGTACGACGGCTCAATTTCCATGATCGAATCCATAAGCTGGTGACAATTGGAAACTCCACGCTCGCTGCCAAACAAGAATACCGTTACGTCGACCTCATCCGCAGTCGTATAACCCCCCTCCTCTGCCGTGATCAAGAGTCTATTCGGATAGGTTGGCTCAATCTCTATGTGTACGCCAGTACGGTACTTCAGCTCAACCGCCCACTCTCGCATAGGGCCTGATATCTTACGCGCATACTGTGCGGTTGTCTGCCAACGATACACTAGAGAGTTTGTGAGCAAGTCGAACTTTGCTGGTGGATGATCGATTCTTTCCAACCGAATCCGTGATGATGATGACATTGGCGTTTTCATATATGGAAAAGCGGTACCAGACTCAGGTGGTTCTCCTCTCTCCGTTTCCAAGACTGATTCCAACTCTGACTCCAAAGCGCTTGTCTCATCCTCCGAAAGTTTCCAGCTATCGGTTTTTTTGCCAACCTCATGTTCTTTTTTGTTATTCCCGCTGCTATCACCCCATAGCCAACATCGAGGCTCACGGAATTGTGAAAACGACATAGAAGTCGGTGAAGCCGCAGCTGAGCGGTGGAAACGAAAAGAAGCGGCTCGTGGTGACATTAGGAATTGTGACGCATGGCCGCTCGTTGCTAGGCAGAATATTCTGTTCATATCATCTAATAAAGAAACAGAAGTGAATTCAAAATTCAAGAGTGGGAACTTAAAATAAAAATGGATGCTATATTATGGCTATATAAAGCGAGCTGTGATATGGAAAATACATAGAATCATTCAAAGTATAAAAAAAAACAGGAACGAGAAGCTAAATTTGACAATGATTTTCACAGTTATACAAATAAAAAACAACTGTGAAGTTGTAGAATGAAATAGAGACAAAAAATTCCTGAATAATATAGGGTACATCCCACAGAAAAGAAGGAAAATTTATTGTGAGGAAGAAAATAACAGTTTTATATGTGTGTGAAGAATACAGTTGGTTTTCTCCCTCCTTCAATTTATACAGGGTGAAAATAATAATGTCAGAAGACTCAAAAGAGGGAAAAGTCAAAGCCCTATTTAATACGATATCTCTCTTAACTAAATTTTCAAGATAGCATACTCTTTATTAATTTATGATTTTCCCTTTTTGCATCAAAGGGCTTCACTTTTTAAAAAAGTTACGATATGCTTAGAAGTAGCGCTGTCTCCTTAGCTCTCTCCATATGCTTCCTCAGTAGTGTCAGTTTAAATGGAGTCACATAGCGACCTACATTTAAATTGTGTTCAAACGGGTCCTCAATACACCAGCGGTAGCTTACCTTCTCTCCAGAAATACGTGCCATGTCCTCCGCCTGTTTTGTCCAGTATATCATTTCCTTAGTTGTCTTATCTGCCCGGCTTAAGCTAATAACCTCGGTCTCTGGGTTGAATTCGTGAAGATAATAATTTAGAAAATCCAGCACCATGTCCCCGAGCTCGCTGCCATTCTGTGCGGGATGCTCTAGCGGAAGGTACGAAGGCAGCGAAGGAATGTGTGCCACATCACATCTCTCCGGGTCCACAAACTTCACCAGCTGACGCTGTAAAAGATAATATACCACCATCAAATTGCATCCATAAGAAGTAAGACACCCGCCATCCACGCTCATATTGAAGCCCGCGCGCTTGCTCCATTGTTTAATCGCCATACTCAGCCAGCGAGTCTCGGGTTTCTGCTTGAAGTACGCAGACAACAAGGCACTATTGCGTACCCCATTTCGCCGCCTTGCTGTGACGTCGAAATCAATCCCACATGGGTCGCCTTTTACCCGTAAAACCGGCACTCGCGTTCGCCGCACCAGATCCATCTTCCACGCTAGGTTATGCATCTCTCGCAGGGAGGCCTCGAGGCGACTTAGAAAATCCACCTGAAGGCCCTTGGCGATCTCGGACGACGGATCAGCAGCTTTGCCATCCGACACATCCTTCTGGTTGAGAGCGACGAAGTCGACATCACAACCGCTTTCATGAAAGCCGTAGACCGCTGTTGAACCAAAAACATACAACGCCATGGATGGATCCACCGTTTGCATACTCTGCGATACGATCTCGTGCGTTTGGACAATGGGTTTGATGTCAAGGTTTTTACTCAATAACTTCCCAAAAGAGTCACACACAAGCTTCCCTACGTTCACGGCAGACAGGCTCGTCATCATTGCGAGGGTCCTGGGATTAAAAATGGGAATGTGCTTTCTATCTAAGAGTCCAGTATTCGTATCGTTTAGTCCCCTTGTCTATCACTTCTTCAATGAATATAGCGACGTTAGAAATAACTAAAACCGATCAAAGGGTTCTCAGTATCAAGCACCCTTTTGGTACCCAATGCTTTGAAAAATGAGAAAGAGAAGAAACAACCATTTTAGAAAAGCTATTCTCACAGAGTAATGCAAAATAGGGAAGGGGGACTAGAAGTTATACATATATCAACATGTCAGAGATGCAAATGAAAATGAAAATCATTCGAGTGTCATTTATAGATGACATTTCTGCTGATATTAAAACTTGCTTCAAATTTCTCTAACATTGGATTTAGAGAGCTTTAGGTGTGTATTTTGATTATGAGCCATTCTAAAAATAATTACACAAGAAAAGTAATAGCAGTTAGTTAAATCGTGTAGCAGGTATATGTTTATTAAAAACTTATTAAACTGGCTGAAACGTGTTTATATATGCCTCGTTTTGTGAATAAGACATATGTTAGTAAATAATACACTAACAATATGTACTGAAAGGGTGTAAATAAGGAAAAAGTGAAGGGAATCAAAAAAAAAATTGGCGAAGATTAAAATGAATATAAAGCGATAATTTTGTACATTCCCATACAAAATAAAACGAATTATTTAGGCTATCAATCTGAGGATAAAATAAAAAATAACAATAATGACAATCGATCTCTGTTACTGCCTAACTAAGACAACATTTGGTTCTTCTCTATGTTTTTAAATACAACTAATATATCTGAGAGACGTGTTAAAACCTCCTGCGCCATCACCCCGCTCAGCTGATCCATTTGCTGAGTGATCTGATTTACTTCCTCCTTCACCCGAACACAGTAAGTTTCCAATTTAGCCTGGATATTTTGCACGGACTCCTGTAATTGCTCGAAACACAGTCTTTGCAAAGAATGAGGGCCCTCAAGTCCATCGGTCACGCTCAACGGATGCCTTCTTTCCGCACGGGTCGGGTATGGCTCATAGTATGGAGATGAGGCCAACAACACTGGCGAACCTATGACAGCCCCCTCGCTGGCAATTTCAAAAGATTTACCAAGATGGCTAATACGAGTCTGAGTTGGTGAAAGAGGCAATAAGGCTCCAGTGCTGCCTACGCGCGGCGTCACCTCCAGTGAGGGGTACTCCTTCAGTGGAGTAATTTCTTCACTGTCACCCTCCTCGACGTCTTTGATGCTTTCCTCAACATCGTTTGTAGGTTGCCCAATCCAAGCATCAGAAATGCAGGATTTCCATCGCGGATGAAGGTTTAGTGAAGGAAAAGGAGGTGGCACCGGACGCTGCACGTTCTCGACCTGTTTATTTAACGGAAAAATGCAGGACGTCGATAAACTTTTTGGTTTCGCTACGCACCGATCACGACTTGTGTATAAAGCAACGCTAGAATTGGAAGACCTAAGTCGACGAAAATGAGCGCGTCTGTCCAGTTGCCTGGAGGTGGTCTTCACGGCGTCATGAATTTCCTTCATGGTAAAAGAATTCCGACTAGCAGTTGGAGGTACGTCTCTATCACGACAGTGGCAAGGCTTCAAAGTTGCACATAAAGAAGTTGGAATCTCGGTGGAACCCTTCGAAGTGTGCAAAGAAGCGTCTTCCATGCTTCTTTCATGCAGTCGAAGAGTAGCCTCACACGCTTTCCGTCGTGTAGAAGAGGAAGAAATGGAGAGTTGAGAATCACAGCCCTTGTCTTCCGCCTTCTTTGTGCTCGGAGGCAACGTGAGCGTTTTTGAATGGCCTTCACAAGAGGTGCGTGGTTTCGATAGGCTCTTTTTTTGAGTCTGGCTCGCGCTGTGGGGGGTAGTGAAGCTTGGTTTCGGTGAACAGCCACCGACGCCGAGCAATTTGCACACAAAACAGCGATGCGCAGAAGCAAAGCCGGCGCAAGCACCCCTGGAATCTGATGGAGGGAAAACAGCTTCCGGGGGAAGGATGTTGGTCGATGCGCTCTGGGTATTCAAACCAGCAGGCGAAGTTGGCTGCGGCTGCTCCTCTACCCCAGGAACAGAGGGCATGAATAACGTACACTGTGGAAGGGACGGCACCTCAACGAATACTCGTTCAGAAAGCGTCTTCGACGAAGGTGGTTTCTCCCGACATGGATAGTGTCGAACGTTGGCAGAGAGAACTAACCTTCCGTCCGCAGGAGCCTCTGTGAGTTTGCCATGCGAACGGGCCGGAGGTCGGGGCAGGGGCGAAGACATGGCTGTAGAAGAAGCAGATGATGAAGTGCCCCTCCAGTGGCTAATCCGAGATGATATGGGCGAGGATGAAGGGGAGGATTGATACGGTGAAGCCTGCAATTGTTTCCGGGTCAAGTGAGGACCTCGATGGGACTTTACGCCAACATTTTCTGCGGTGTGATCAGAATGTTTAGTAAGGCGAGTTGATAGCGCCGTACACCCTCGCTGCCGCTGTGGTGGTTGTGGAATAAGCTGCGCTGGTGAGTATCGCCGCGAGGGTGGGGTCAGCATCGTCCCTTTAACATAGGAGTGGGGACGACCCTTGGGTGCAAAGTATCCATTGGTGATTTTCGATACATCGGATAGGAGAGGCATGCCTATGTGACCTAAATATGTGCCCCGTATCCTATGAAAACTTACTGGGGAGCACATAGGGTATGAAGTGTGTGGTTGTTGACCATATTTTAGAGGCGTTTTGGGTTTGCAAGGAGCAACGCAGGTCTTTTGCTCGACTCCAGTTGTCCTGAAACCTCTTGGAGGATGAGGCTTCCACACAGTATCTGGTGATACTACTTTTCCAGAGGCATGGGCTTGACGTCTTTCATTCGCTCCTAACATACCTACAAGACTGCGAAAGCGTGGGGAAGCATCGGAAGGCCGCAATGTACCCTCCGCTTTCCCTACATCGCGAGCAAGGCTCACTCCGGCAGGCCGTAATAATTGTTTCTTATTCGCTCCAGAAACAAAACGTGATGGCTGCAGCGGCACCGAGTATAATGAGGCATGAGGGGACGAAGGTCGCGACGTCTCCATCGAAGCCTGGCACTCGAAATCGCGCATACGTTCTCGATTACGCACGGCAACCGCCTCAAGAGAAGAAGCATACTGTTGAAGATCCTTCCGCTCCTGAGATGTCCGCCCCTCCACGTGGTGTACCCGTAGTACGATATCCGTGATTCGTTCACCCTTGCGAAGGCCCTCAACGAGGCCATCGACCATGGCCGCATCCAAGCGGTGAAAAACCAATGTCAGGCTCACCGAATGGCAAGGTGTCCATCCCACGTTTGACGTCTCGCATCCCCTCCCGGCCTCGAGTGAAGGGTCAGAGGAGGAAGGACAGAGCGAACCACGGTCTCCACCCAATAATCGCCCCCATCCGCCGTTTGGGGAGACCCCAGGAGAACGCCCCGTGGCGGCCCGAACGCGCGATGCGGAGGACGCCGAAAGGCTCGGTGAAGAAAGGTGGCTCCATCGTCTCGAAGCCGCGGTGGGGGCAGCGTAGTGAGGCCGATCGGGAACCCCCCCCCCCTTCCAGGGCTTCGTAGGGGGCAAGCCAAAGGCCCCGAGGGCGGGGGCCAGGGCCTCAACCTCTTCCTGTGTGCACTCCGTTACAAGGGTGAGGCTTGTCAGGCCACGGCAGCCCGCGGCCGCCCACAGGACCCGTCCCACCGCCGGCAGGCTGGCGTGGCGCCGGTAGAGCACAAGGGCGCGCAGGGAGGTGTTGGAGCGGAGAGGGCGCCGGAGACGCCGGGCCGCGGTGGGGCTAAGAAAGCACTGCGGGGTGCTCCCCAGGACCAGCCGCCGGATGGTGTTCGTCACCAGGTGATGCTCCACAAGGGGGATGGAGGAAAGGGGGGCGGAGGGGTCGTACGGGTGGGCCCCATTCGACATGGGGGTTATCGTGAAGGGAATAAATAAGAGAAAGAGGAAAGTCACAGTGCGGTAAGAATAACTGTATAAAGGGGATAGGTCAAAGGGCTCTTGGATTTCCTAGCGCCCCTCGCCTTTCCGGTGATAGATTTACAATGGATTCTATTAGTGAAATAACTCTATCAAGTTCATCGAATAGAAAGTATAAAAGGGATGTCTATGAGGTGAAGAATGAAAATAATAGCAGAAGTGAAATTGTAACGGTAAAAAAAACTTCTATTTTCCTTTAGAAAATCCTTGTTAAGTGAGATTCGAATCCATGAATATTGAAAGGATAAAATTTTAAAAAACATCAGTAGTTATCACATATGGAACTAGTTTAACAATAAAAAATGGAACTGGGTTTATCTATTACCTTTATAGAAAAGGTCAGAGTTGGGTAATATCGTATGCGCGCGTTCACGCATAACAAAATTAGTTCATACACGTTGAAGCATGCATGTCAAAACAAGTAAATAAACCAAGAAAACAATCGATTTCATGCCGCACCCAAACCCGAATTGATAGACCTAGATTTGTTGCATGCTTGTAATTGGGATTAACTCACTTCCTCCGGTAATTACATCACAAGAAATTTGGCTTAGCTACATTCTTCTGGCTAACAAAAGGCACCGATTTCTGTTCAAATGAATCCAAAACAGGAGAAATAGGGGTATCGTCACTCAAGCTATGCTGAAACCCGGTCAAAGAAACTTCAAGTGTCTCCTTAAGAGACTTCCGCAACTGATCATCGATAGCTTCCAGCTTACGACATTGCACTCTATGTGTATCAATTAAAGGTATCGCAAAATAACGATAATATGCTACTATAGTGATAAAAAAGCCTGTAATAAAACCACTTAGTCTAACATGAAGCATTTCAATGCTGCTGCCTCTTTGAGCTTGAGTTACCCAGATCCAAGCTTCTGTACCTAGTTAGGCTTTTAGACAGTGTGAATTCAGTTCTGTCTATAAGACTTTCCTTCGGTTTTATATGTTTGTGCAAGAAACTTGCTAAAAAAGGAGCCAAAGTTATAGTATAATTCTAAAGATAAAAATGCACTGTGCAGCTCTAGTTGAAAAGTAAGAGATAGACTGACTAAGGCCTACAGTTATCCACTTTGCGTTGTTTTAACACAGTTTAAATTACTTGAACTTTTTCACTAAGCAAGAGCTTTACCTTCCGAAATTTGACTCAACTATTATATCCGTAATATGCATAAAAACGACATGCATACTTCACACACATAATATTTCATGAGTACAACAAATTAATAAGAAGCACAGTAGTTCTTAGTTGAGTAAATATTCATCAGTGTGTAAACAGGAAACCAAAGTAAATTTACATAATAATAATAGTAATTCGAAACTGGCTAAAGAAACAAATTAAAAAAACGCACAAAAGTAAAAATAACTTAGCGAGTTGTATGTATACCTTGGATTTTGTCCTATTTAATAGCAAAAGGGAATTGTTATAACATTCCTTGTTAGAATCGGTACTTCGATCTTATATCCTTCACTTAACTCCTTAAAGAAGCTAAATTATAGGACTAGAATATTGAACTAACAAGGCATGCTAAGGAAAGTTAATATTAAGAATAATTTACCATCCACGCAACAGCAGGCAGAATTATGGAATCCTTAATCACCATTTTAAGTCAATAGATTTGAAAGTGGAATAATCATAATTTCAAAGCAAATGTATCGTCAGAAATAAAAGGAGCAAAATCTAACAACAAAAGCTGCACAAAAATGGTACCAAGCACATTTTTATTACCGTTTTTCATATATTCTATTTTCAATATCCTGATTAGGGAAAGTGAAAGAGAAAGGCTGAATAAATTTATAAAAATTACTCCGTAAAAACCACCGTAATACTGTTATCCTCATTCACTTTGAAAGGCAAGTCGCTAAGGGACAGTGGATCCATTAATAACAGTTTTCCAATATATAACGAAATCTTCTCGTACGGTATACCATAATATTTATATAAAAAAAACTTGAGATGCTCAATGCTCTGGCCCATGTAGAATCTGTGAGTGAGGGTAAGCTTCCCATCCTGTTCGGCTATCTTCTTTGCGAAGCCGCCTTTTTCCATGAACGAAGTTGAAAAGTGAAATGTAACCTGAACTTCATCCCCTGCCAGCTCTCGCTCGACATCATCAATTTCGGCAGGAACGGCGCGGCGCGGGTTTGCGGAGGTGCCGTAGTCCTCCGGAAGAGACTGCAAAGATGCATTCCATTCATCCAAAGAATCGGAAAGTGGGGATCGGGGTTCTGTATAACCCAAACTAACGTGAGGAATCGCAACCTCACGTCGAATTTCCTTCAACATCAAGTTACAAGGTTGATTCTCTGTGGCGGACATGTTTTTAAGTCTATACTAAATATACCAGCAAAAATTTAAGTGTAAAAATATATGAATCGTACTAAAGAAGAAAATATTTTTTATAACAGAGCATATAGTCTTTGAGTTTTCTCTTAAGCAAAGTAACTTCTGAAAGAAATGAAAAAAGCACTTTTGAAAATTAATTATAAAAAAATGTTTCAAAAAAAAAAAGAAAAATAGAAGACTTACTTTTCTTAAATGCATTACGGTATCTAATTTCTTTTTATTTAATGAACCCAACAGGATACGCGATCAACAAGCATTATTATATATATATGTGAAAAGGCAATACATGAACATTCACACCATAACCTAGACAAGCATGTCGTCATTTTCCTCAGGGGTACCATCTTTCCTTCTTCTCATTTTAAAGCATAGAGGTCTCATACTTTTTTACCAGTAAAAGTGCCTCAACAATTTGGAACGATACTCGGACTTATCATTAGCATGCCCATTCATCCACCCTTTTTCTTCATTTTTATCACAACGACATGTCATTCGCTCATGGTAAAACTCTATGCATTACCATTCGTAGCATACTCTCAACCGAATCACGATACCCTGTTAAGGTCACGTTGCTCGGATCATTAGCTTTGGCGATCGAAATCCACAAAGGGCCGCTGTTAGGCTTTAATACTGGCAAGTCTTGATCATCGTGTATCCTATTCAAACACTCAGGTGACTTTTTGACTGGAAGGAAGGTCTTTTGCTGATGGCGCGCCGTATCAGAGACCGCCGCGGCGGCCACCCCCCACACCCACCGCTGAATCCGCTCGGGTGAAAGTTCCTTTCCCGCCTTCCACTCCGCGCCCTCCAGTCGTTGGCCGACCCAATCCCTGTACTTCTCATCCAGCGCCAGCCTCCACAAAAACGCGATGGCGTCCCCACAGCGCCCCCCTCCCGCCTCGACGGCTTTCAAGGCTTGGCAGATCGCCTTGGGATGGTCCCCTGCGTGGTGGTAGAGCCTCCCAACGGCGATCAACACCAGGGCCTCGCGCGACCGCCAGTGCCGCATCACCCACCCCGCGGCGCGCCCCCGCGAAGACGGCGGCTCGAGGTCGATAAACCACTGCAAAAGCTCCCCCACAGGGATGGTAAAGGCCCCCTCGGAGGTCTTGGGAAGGCCCTGGAGGGTCTCCTTCACCACCTCCAGGGCGACGGCGTCACCGCCGTGACGGCGCTCCACCCAAGCCCGCGCCATCCCAAGGGTCGCCCTGGAATGAGAGGAAAAGGACGAAAAAGAGGACGCGGGGGCGGGAACCCCACCGCGGCGGACTCGCGAGGAGGAAGCCCCAGGCCCTCCTCCGCCTCCTCCCTCGATCCGCACCTCGGCATCGAGCAATAAGGCGCGAGCGGTGGCCGCCGAGGAGAACAGCTCGGACTCGATTCGGACCGCGGCGTAGACCCACACGGCGACCTCGCCAGCGCAGTGCTCGTGAGCGAGCGCGCGGGTGTAGAGCCGGCGCATCTGCGCGATGTGATCGGGCGGGATGAGGCCGTCCGCGGTGGCCGCCCTGTCGGCCAAAATCACCCCCCGCATCTCCTCCAACCGCATGAGCCAGAGCCGAGGGGCCCAGGGGAGGCGCCGGATCCCCTCCTCGAGCAAAGGGGTGATCGCCTGCCCACGGCTCCGGCGGTGAACCGCCAGCTTCACCCAGACCAGGTCCGCGCGCGGGTCCTCAGCCTGAGGTCGGGTCGCCGCTTCGCAGGGCGCGGGAGGGCTCGCGGAGGTCGCGCGCGAAAGACACGCATCGGCCTCGTCATGCCGCCCCAACGCCGCGTAGGCTTTGGCCCTCGCGCAGACGATCCACGCGTTCGGCCCCACACCGTCCTGAGCCCTCATCGAAGCCGACTTGAGAATTTGAAGTACAACAGAGTAGTAGCCCCGCATATAGAACGCATCCACGATGGTCCGCATCAGCTCAACATGGGTTAGAAGATAGGGGTTAGAAAGTGTGGGTAAAAGTACGGCGATCAAGCACACACGCGCCTTCAACTCATTCGACGCCCTTCGTTGAAGTGGAATGCCCTCCGCGGAATGGTCTGCACGCGAAGGCGCCTCGGATTCCTCATTGGCGGGCATGGACACCACGTGTTGATCGCGATCCGGGCTTAATGACCGCTTTTGAGGATGACTACTCATAAACAAATCTGATACGGTGTCGAGCACTTCACGAGGCGCCGTTTCAATCGCGGCGCGTATCACGCTCATCGCCTCCGGCAGGTTGGACAGTGCGCTTCTCGTATTGTTTGTTTGATCGGAAGATTTCTCCTTCCCGATCGCTTCGCACTCGTTGGGTAAAGGTGGTAATGACGCCCCTGCTCCATGCATCGCTTCCCCGTTTGGCTGCAGAAGAAGCCAACTAGCCCACAGAGCGCAGAGCTGCTCATGTTTCTCCCACAGCGAGTCCAGCAAGGCCATTACATCCAATAGGTACGTACCCACCGAACTCGAGGAAGATCCCTGATGAGATACAGCAAGCTCGACATCCTTCGCGGGGAGTACCGCATACAGAAACATATACGCCGCAGTCCATAGATACGAGAACCCAGTACTAGGATCCTTGGCAAGGCCGCTATTATCAGACGCGGCGCCGCCGCACAACTCGGTTGCCTTATCCAACCACTGGCGACATGATAATTCCTCTGAGATGTTTAAATAATGCTGCGCTGCAACCCGCACCAGTTTGTCAAGCTCCCTCTGGATAACTAGGCTGAACCCCGAGACGCCTTCGACCGTCGCCGCGTCGTCCGCAGGATCGAGAGAGACCCCTGCCTCGACTCGCTTTTCGATCGCGCTCCACTCCACAAACTTCGAGGCCTCGATGAGAAGCTCCAGTGAGGCGTACCGCTGCGCCGCCGCGCGGAAGATCTCGAGCCCTTCGGAATAGCCCCCGAGGCGCACAAATTTCGCCCAAAGAAGAGGCAAATTCGGGCTCCGCTGAAGGGCCCGCTGGAGAATCTTTCGCTGGTCCTGCGCGTCGGGCAAAAGGGCCACGAGCCGCAGCCAAAGCCCCTCCCCCCGAGGGCAGGCGATGACGGCGCGCTGCACCCACCCCAGGAGCTCATGCGGAGGCTGATAAGTAAGCAACTCGAGCCAAAGCCCCTCCGCGTCGGGGACAGCCTCGGTGGCCTCCTCTAGGACCCGACGCCGGGCCGCGGGGTCCCCCCTGTCCGCGAGCTCGCGAAGCCGCTCCTCCCAGATCAGCGGGCCCTGCCCCCCCGTCCGCGCGCAGCCCTCCACGAGGGTGTGGTGGGCCCTCCTGTGCAGCCCCATCTCGCGATAGGCCCGGGCGTGGGTGACCCACGTCGACTGCTCCCCGGGCGAGCCCATCTCCAGCAGGCTCTGGAGCTGTTGCTGAAGGGCAGCGTGTTTGCCCTGGAGAAGGTCCCCCGTCGTGATGCGATGCTCGTCGGAGAAGAAATACGCCTCGGCAGCCTCCACGGCCTCCGTCCGTGCGCTACGAAGCGTCCGCGCCGCCCCCCC